TGCTGTTGAGTTGAAGTCACATTGACTGAAGTTGTTGGCCAACTTGTCTAATTGAGGAGGCATGTAGTTTTTTTGCACTGTTTTTCTTTTGCTTGATTGTTTGCGTTATATCATTGAATGAACCTCCCCAGCCCCCCAAAAAATCAAAACCAGCTGCCTTCAGGTGACCTGCGACCTCGGTTTTATGGTAGTGATTGCGATCGCGCCCGTCCAAAAAAAGAAGCTGGTCGTCTCGCAAACAAAATACGTTTTGTCCATTGAGGGCTGAGTTCATTGAGGGTCTTTGATCCCTGTGCCCAGCAAGGCCCAGCAACGCTGCCGGGCTTCGTCGGGGACTGGGTTCTTGACCCTATTGTTATTTAAGTCAAGGTTTTTCCTTTGTCATTGCTGTTTCATTGGTGTTTCAGCGGTGCAAGCACTTCATGTTTTGACATTGTGGCTTATTAAGGCGGTGTAAAATTTGAATAACAACAAGTAACATTGAGACACAGCAGCCAAGACAATGACAAACACAGTGACAACTAACCATCTATGACACTCACCAAAAACGATACTAAGGAACAGATTTCAATGGGTGACAATGCAACCACTGATGCATTAGTTTACTGACATCATCAGCTTTGACCATCAAACCGGACAGCCAGCGCCATGTATGACGATGATGAATTTTCCCAGCTGGAGTGGGAGAACCGGGTAATGAAGTTCAAGAAGTATGACAGCTGCAAGCTCTTAGCGAGAGGAGGTATGGGGGGCAGCTTTCTGTGTGGTGAAGAAGGCAGACCTTAGCAAGAGGTGCTTGAAGCTGTCTCTTGACTATGACACAGATGCCCTTAAAGAGGACAGCTGGCTCAATCATTGATGTTGTGTTTAGTTTCAAAGATTCGTGACCTAAAAGTTCACAGATTATCGACAGATTATCAAAAGTTAATTATTGTCCTATGTTTTCTTTCAAACAGTTCCAAGCCCTGCAGGAGCGAGATACCATGTACAAGCTACGGCACCCCAATCTAGTACCCATTTATGACTCTGGCATGTTTCAAACCCTCCCTGGTCCAGGTTCAGGCAAGGGGTTGAATATGGTTGAATCAGTTTGACAACCTACTTGCAATTAAATACTTGCGCATAACAACATTCAGCTTCATTGAAAGACTAGTCAAAATTGGCCTCACAGGTACACAGCGGATACGCTACATAGAGATGGAGCTACTGGAAGGGGACTTGCATGGGGCGATTCACGCGGCTCGTCGAGTGGAACCAGCATTTGCAGGAAGAATTCTTGCGAACTTGGTTTCTGGCTTACGATACCTGCATGACAGCCACGACATGGTCCACCTTGACATAAAGCCGGCCAACGTTTTCCTCACCTCTGGTGTTGCCAAACTAGGTGACTTTGGCTTGTGCTGCTCCAAGGCCCAAGCCGCAGCTTTATTAGGCCCATGTGGAACTCCGGAGTACTTGCCGGGTGATGTTTGGCATGAAGAAGTCCGCTGTTCAGAACGAAATGATATTTGGGGAGCTGGTTGCATGCTGAACCTTGGATGATAATTTTCTATCAAAGGTCTTGCTTTGCATTGATGTTGGTTGAGACATTGTTTTTTTTCAAGGTGCAATTTTGTTTGCTGCCTAGGTTTGAGATGCTAGAAGGAAAGATGGCTTTTGACAACCCGCCATTACCTGGGCAGGAACTCCCGCACTGCACAGCAAAAGGGTGGAATTCATATGGTGGAACTCTGAGTAATGTCTGGAGACAATTGATGTCCACACCAACAGCCAAGCAGTCGTTGAGCATTGTTGGTAACTTGGATTCTTATGTGATCATGACGATGAAATTGTTCAAACACAATCAAGATCATGGGAAATGATGGTAATCAGTGACAATAAAAGAAAAACAGTTCTAATCAAATATAATCAAATTGAAATGTCTGTGTACTGACTGACAGCGTACTAAATATTTTTACAATATATAATTTCAGACCCCTTTGCAAATTCTGAGTCTGTCTCAGGCGATCTCCTGAAGTTTGACATGGAGAATTACACCCCGACTACTGGCTCCCAAATTGAGCGGATGGCTAAGAAGAAGGGGCTTGTGAATAGTGACATCAAAAGGAAAGCCAACCTGCAAAGGAAGAAGCGGCGGAGGGAGGCCAAGAAAAGGCGGAGGGTGCCCGGGCCAGTTGACGTTAAAGAAGACAATTTGGATCTCCACGACGATGCTGATGATGGAGGTGATCGACAACGTGATGACACCGATGAGCCAAGACGCCGCTGCGAGACTACGATGAAGAATTCCTTGCCGGAAACTTGGATAAATGACATGACCAAATTTATTTGGAACCAGCTGTCAATTTCATGTCAACTCTCATTCTCATTTGAAGTTTTAATTTGTGGTCATCGCCGGTCGCCTAACTACTTTACTAATCATTTCAAAGCTTAAAAAAAGATTGAGAAATTAAAAGGCCGCAACCGTTATACGACAGTCCCACCGC